TCGCCTCTCCAATTGAAAGGAGTCGCTTGAGATCTTCTTGGTTTGGTTGCCGAAGATATTCACCTCCATAAACATGGATGACTGCCTGACAAAATTTTAGCAAGCTTTCGTTGGAAGTCGATTCGCCAAGTCGGAGGTATTCGTCGTTCAAGTCAGAAGCACCGCCATATGCAAGCATTCGAATAGCAGAGGTGATTTTTTGGAGAGGTCTCAAGCCAGGTTTACCCAGGGCATCAGCCTTCTGCAAGAAGTAGTTGTCGTGTTCTTGCACATCGTCAACAATACTCAAGAAAAGTGAGTGTCGCATTCGGAAACGCCTTCGAAACAAGTGATCGGGGTAGACGGGATTTTCTGCAAAGTAGTCGGTGAACAGTTGGTTGTAGCCTGCTTCAAAATCACGTGGCAAGTTCGGCATGCGACCTGGTCTGGATCCACCGTGCACTCGTAATTCTAATTCTTCATCCTCTCTTGCTCTTCTCATTTGGATAAGCATGTTTGTTGAATTTATGATTGACATTCGTTGATGAAAACTGTTTGAAAACATCATCCGTTGCGTTTGGAGTACAACTTGGAGGTGCGCGTCAAAGTCGAGTTATTCATTGGGGGTCGATGTTCATCTTTGAAGATACTGGATTGAAAATAACTTCCAGAGAAGTGCTAGTAGAAAACTAGGGGTTGGTGGATGGACCCGGGGGTGACCTTTCGCAAAGATTTAGCTCAGGTTTACCACTCTGCGGTGTTGCACATGCCCGAAGTTGGGTGGTAATTCCGTAATTCGGGTGGTAAATCCGACCTTTACCACCCGCGGTGGAGTTGCTCTGAGGCGGGGGGATATCCGCCAGGGGATGCGGATGCGGGTGCGGATGCCGCTTTCCCCGGAAAAAGCAACCGGATATCCGCATCCGCGCGGATATCCGGATGCAAAGTGCCCATCTCTAATCAATGCTAAGTTTTTATATTTTGATTTTAAATTTTTCTTTATCTGAAACCATCAGCTCAATTAAAATTTCAACAGGAAGTATGTGTATATCTACAGATCCCCACCTTACCCAAATTAAGAGAAACATATGTAAAAAAAATCTAAAAAGTGTAAA